GGAAGGACGGTCGTAAAATGGAGCCAAATTCACTGAACAAGTTATCTCGCTTAGCCAGAAAAATCTGGGGCTCCATTGTGGTCGTAAGCCGAGGACCACCTGTACCTGCAGAGGGTTTTGAAGAGCACCCTGAGGGTGGTGAAGCTGCTCAATTAACGACGGTCCCGGGGATTAGAATTTCCACCGCTAAGTGAAGCCGTCATAAAGCGGATTGCCATGGGGACTGCCTCATTTGGCAGTGGCCTCATGGCCAGACAAGCAGCAACCAAATTTAATAAATACAAATCAATTCAAAAACCCTGCAGTCCCCATCACTAATAAATAATCAAGGACTCAGGCCCGATTCCCAGCTGGGCCCCCCCCCCCAGCCCCCAGCCTCCACTCTCCCAAGGTCAGCGACTGCCTCTCCTTGAACACCCCACCTGCCCCACTCCTCCTCTCTGCCCTTTTGCCCACCTGGCACGGTGGCACTCTTAGGCAGTGGGGGGGCCCAGAAACTGGGGGCCCACGGCACCTTTAACGGGCACTGCTGTCCCAGAGCTTCTACTACAGCCCCAGCGCAGGGCAGCCATAGTGGCTGAGATTGGGGGGGGGACAGGCGAGGGAGCTGAAGCGCCCCAACAGTTGTAAGGTGGGCAGCTTCCTGTGACCAGAGTGATGCTGTCACCGGCCGTAATTTTGAGGACCAGGGTTCAGAAGCATTCCTTCCGCGAAGCCATCACTTTGAATAACCGCTGAACAAGCAGTCATAATTCAAGGACTAGGTCGGCTAGTGGCCTTCTGTGGATCACCCTACTGCTTTCTGCACGCATCCCAACCAGCCTTCTGCGCAGGCCACGGACCAGCACCGTCCCAGGGGGAGACGCCAGGGGGAGTCCCGTACGTTTTTTCCCTTTTAATGGAACGGCAGTCGACAAGGATTCTATGGGACGCCTCCCGGTGTTCGGCTGCCACGGACTAAATTGCCTCCCAAGCCAGCTTGAGATGACAGCAGCTAGCAGGGGTTCTCAACCTTGGCCACTTTAAGACTTGTGGACTTCAACTCCCAGAATTAAGCTGGCTGAGGAATTCTGGGAGTTGAAGTCCACAAGTCTTAAAGTGGCCAAGGTTGAGAACCCCTGATAAAGGTGATTAAAGGCCTGGAGACTAAAACACAGGATGAACCATTGCAGGATCTGAGCTTGGCTAGTCTAAATCAGTGGTTCTCCACCTGTGGGTCGGGACCCCATTTGGGGTCGAATGACCATTTCACGGGGGTCGCCAAACAATGCAGTCCACCATTTTTTCCCCCCTTTTCCTTAGCTGTGCTACTCCCTTTTATTCTATTGGCTTTGGAAAGCCAATAGAATAGACTCTCTTGAGTACAGTCTAATTCTATTGGCTTTCAAAAGCCAACAGGAATTGTCCAGGCTGTCTCTGCCCTGCTGAGCCCGCCAAAAGTCCCATTCTGCAAACGGTGCTGCACCAGTTGAGTAGTCCTCGACTTACGACCGGTTGAGTAGTCCTCGACTTACGACCGGTTGGGGATCGCGGCATTAAAAAGGTTGAGAACCACTGGTCTAAATAAAAAGAAGGATGAAGGGGGTGACCTGACGGCAGCCTTCCAGTGTTTGAGGGGCTGCCCCAAAGAAGAGGGAGTCAAGCTATTCTCCAAAGCCCCCGAAGGCAGGATAAGTAAGGAGAGAAACGAATTTCCTCACAGTGAGGACAATTATCCAGTGGAACAGAAGTTGCCTCCAGAAGCTACGGGTGCTTCAAGATTGGGTGTTTTTAAGAAAAGACTGGACGAATGGTTGAGCAGGGGGTTGGACTAGAAGACCTCCAAGGCCCCTTCCAGCTCTGTTCTGAATTGACCCCACATCCTAGGTGCAAAAAGGCCTCCCCCAGCCTGACGGGAAGAGCAACACAATTCATCCCAGGCTCCTTTGGGGGGGGGGTGGAAGGGCAGAGCAGAGCGCCATCTCTCTGGGGGGGGGCGGTCTGGGCCTCTTCGTGAAAAGGGACCTGGCCAAACCCGCCTCCCCCCCTCTCTGGGCACCAGCCCCTCCCTCCCTCCCTCCCCAAGGAGGAGAGCCGGGGCAGAGTTCACACAGCAGCAGCAGCAGCACCTTCCCTGCCTGCTCAGCCAGCGGCCTGGCTTTGCCCAGGATGTTGCACTTGATGGTTCAGTGGTCTTGCAAATCCAATTCCGAGCCCGGATCTTTGCTCAAGGGGGCAGCAGGAAAGGAGGCGGCTTCGGTGGAAGAGAGAGCAAAGGGCCGGCATGGAGCCAGGTGGCCCTGGAGAAGGAAGACACCCCTCCCTCTCTCTCTCTCTCTTTCTCTCTCTCTCTCTTTTCTCTCTCTCCCTCTCTCTTCTCTCTCTCTCTCTCTCCTCTCTCTCTCTCTCTCTCTCCTCTCTCTCTCTCTCTTTCTCTCTCTCTTTTCTCTCTCTCTCTCTCTTTTTTCTCTCTCTCTCCCTCTCTTTTCTCTCTCTCTCTCCCTCTCTCCCTCTCTCACACTCTCTTTCTCTCTCTCTCTCCTCTCTCTCTCTCCCTCCCTCTCTCTCTCTTCTCTCTCTCTTTCACTGTCTTTTCTCTCCCTCTCTCTCTCCCTCTCTCTTTTCTCTCTTCTCTCTCCCTCTCTCTCTCTCTCTCTCTCTTCTCTCTCTCACTCTCTCTCTCCCCTCTCTCTCTTTTCTCTCTCCTCTCTCTCTCTTTTTCTCTCTCCTCTCTCTCTCTTTTTCTCTCTCTCCCACTTCTCTTTTCTGTCTCTCTCTCTCCTCTCTCTCTCCCCCTCTCTCATTCTCTTTTGCTCTCTTTCTCTTTTTTCTCTCTCATTCTCTCTCTTGCTTTCTTTTATCTCTCTCTCTCTCTTCTCTCTCTCCCTCTCTCCCTCTCTCTCTCTCTCTTCTCTCTCATTCTCATTCTCTCTCTTGCTCTTTTTTCTCTCTTTCTCTTGTTCTCTCTCATTCTCTCCCTCTCTGTTTCTCTCTCTCTCTCTCTCTTCTCTCTCTCACTCTCTCTCTCCCCTCTCTCTCTTTTCTCTCTCCTCTCTCTCTCTTTTTCTCTCTCCTCTCTCTCTCTTTTTCTCTCTCTCCCACTTCTCTTTTCTGTCTCTCTCTCTCCTCTCTCTCTCCCCCTCTCTCATTCCCTCTTGCTCTCTTTCTCTTTTTTCTCTCTCATTCTCTCTCTTGCTTTCTTTTCTCTCTCTCTCTTTCTCTCTCGTTCTCTCCCTCTCTCTCTCTCCCTCTCTCTTTTCCTCTCTTCTCTCTCTCTCTCCCTCTCTCCCTCTCTCTCTCTTCTCTCTCATTCTCATTCTCTCTCTTGCTCTTTTTTCTCTCTTTCTCTTGTTCTCTCTCATTCTCTCCCTCTCTGTTTCTCTCTCTCTCTCTCTTCTCTCTCTCACTCTCTCTCCTCTCTCTCTCTCTTTTTCTCTCTCTCCCACTTCTCTTTTCTGTCTCTCTCTCTCCTCTCTCTCTCCCCCTCTCTCATTCTCTCTTGCTCTCTTTCTCTTTTTTCTCTCTCATTCTCTCTCTTGCTTTCTTTTCTCTCTCTCTCTTTCTCTCTCGTTCTCTCCCTCTCTCATTCTCTCTCTTGGCCCAGTCTACAGTGTTTCTCAACCAATTTTAAGGCATGTGGACTTCAACTCCCAGAATTCCACAGCCAGCCATGCCTTAAAAGTCCACATGCCTTAAAATTGTCAAGGCTGAGAAAGACTGAGGCCCTGCGATACATTTCATACTTAAGGGTGGGAGGAACAGGGGCCCAGGAGTTGCTTGGAAGAGAAGATCTGAACTCTGCACATGCCCTAGAGTTCCCTTGCCCCTCATCAGCAGACCTGGAGATGCAGGGTGAAGGATGGGGAGGGGGTATGGAGGGGGCAGTTAAATAGGAACCCCAGTTGCCTCCCTTTTAAAGCTCTCTGACCTTTCACGAGCCCTCCCACTCTCTATGCACACGTTTCCCAGAATCCCCTTCTGATTCATGGGGGGGGGAGCAATTTAACTGAATCAGCTAGGAATGACTGAGTCGTTTCAAAAGTTTGTGTGTGTGTGTGTGTGTGTGTGTGTACGCACGCGTGAGAGCGCTTTAATGCAGTGTTTCCCAAACTTGACAATTTTAAGGCATGTGGACTTCATCTCCCAGAATTCCACAGCCAGCGTTGCTGGCTGTGGAATTCTGGGAGTTGAAGTCCTCATGCCTTAAAATTGTCAAGTTTGGGAAACACTGCTTTAATGGTATTTTCCCCGGATAAGGAAAATTGTCAAGTTAACCACCCTACCAAGCGCAGAGGCAGGCAAAAGGTGGGGCAAACAGGCCACGAGGAAGATCCCGGGGGGGGGGTCCCAGAGGTGGAGGAGCCCTTCTCCCGGAACGGCGCGACCACCCCGCAGTTTACACTCCTCTAGCCAAGACGCCCCCCCTCCCAGCCCAGCGGGAGACGCTCCTCCAGCCGCCAACAGGGCGAGAGAGCCCCGCTCCTGCCCTTGCGCAGCCCCGCCAGTCGGAACTCCCCCCCCCGCCCGAGGGAGGCGCAGGGCCGTTGGCCTTTTCAACGGGCCGCGTCGGGGCGCCCGCCGGGTGACGAGAGTTCAACCTCCGCACGTGCCGCCGGCGAGACTAACCAGAGGCTGGGTGGCCGCGAAACCGCGAACCTTCCCCCCTCGCATCCCCGGAGGGAAAGACTCGGCAAGGCAGCCTCCCTGCCCTCCCCATGGCGCCCCCGAGCCGCCCCCAGATCCCGCCCCAGGCACGGGACCCCGACGCCCATCCTCCTCGGCCGGTCCCCATGTCTCCAGGGCCCCCGTAGCGGAGTAAAGGGCTCCCCGGTCAGTCCAGTCCCTCCGCCGCCCCCCAGGCGCACCGCGGCTTTCCCTTCCTCCAAGGCGCAGCCTTGCTGCGCCCAGACCCGGCCGGGAAGACCCAGCGACCCCCCCCCTCCCGACCCGTCCCGCCGCCCTTGCCGAGCCCTCCCGCCAGGCGCTCTGCGAATGCTCAGAGGCCCGCGCGCCGCCCTTACCTTCCGCTTGTGCCGGTGGACGTCTCCGATGGAGTTGGCCACGGTGTTGGGGCCCAGGAGCAGGCGGGTGCTGCGCGGCCACTCGGTGCTGACCAGGCTGTGCTCGCCCATCAGGATCTTGCGCACGTTCTCGGCGCCCGTCACGCGGATCAGCGGCCGGCCCAGCAGGTGGGTCTTGAAGACGTTGCCGTACCTCTCCCGCCGCGAGGACTGGAACCCGGGGCCCTGCAAGAGGAGGCGCGGCCGTCAGCCTGGCAGCTCCCCCCCCCCGACCCCTCCGTTTGCGCTGCAGCCCAGAGTCGGGGAAGTGGGCGCCGAGGCCGGGAGAGACTGCGGCAGTCTCCAGTCCGCCTTTCCCGCCCCCGGCTGGGGATCCTGAAGCCGCGGTCGTCCCCCGGAGGACGGAGAGCGGGACGGGAGCCCCACGGCGGCTGCAAAAGGCTGCTGAAGCGACGGGGCTCCAGCCCAAACGCCCCCCTCCCCGGAGCCTGCCTTGCGCGCTCAGCCCGCATCTGTCGCCCACTTCCATCTCTTCATAACGCACACGGACGCGCGGGGTGTCCAAAAGGCGAAGCCGTGCGGGAAAGGAAAGGGGGAGACCCGGCCACGGGTGTCAGTCTGGCGCGTGGAAAGCGGGGCTCCTGTTCGTGACTTTCCGGAGGATCGGATTTCTGGGGCCGTCCCGCCTGGCCAGAAGACGCCGGCCAAGGACAGGCGCGGGACGGTCACCTTCCGCGATTGGGGTTTGGGTTCCTCCTGCTGGGAGGGGGCGTTGCTGCCAGTCTTAGCCCCCCCTCGCCCCCTCCCCGCCAACGCTGCTGGAAAGCAAAAGAAGGGCGCAAAGGTTCGCCCCGCGCTAGCCCCCCCCCCGATCCAAAGAAAGCGAGGCGGCTTCCGAGTCGGAGGGTCGCGGGGAGGCCAGACGGTTGGTTGGCTTGGGCACAAATTCAGAGAACGGCGGAAGAGAGTTTTATGACCCCCGAACTCAAGAGTTTAACGAAGTGTGTGAATGCAGTCGAGGCTTAAAACGGGCAAAGGGGTGGCTGCTTCTTTCGGAGGGGGGGGGGATGTCAAAGGGCTGGTTTTAATGGCTGTCAAAAAGAGCGTCTGGTGACCTAGCCTAGGATGCCGAAGGCGCGCGCGCGCACACACACACACACACAGGCACACACACTGTGTTGTGTTACACCAGACATTCCTAGTGCAACTAGCGATCCCTGGAGGCGGCGGGATCCCCTTGGCGGCCTGAGCCCAAGCAGAGCCTGGGTCGTCGTTCCCGGGGAAGAAGGGGGGAGGCTTCCTCCGCTGCCGGGGTGGGCTTCAGGCCAGCGGCCGTCGAAGGGCAGGCAGGATCCGGAGTGCAAATAGTGGACGCCCCCTTTACAGACACTCCCGGAGGGGGGGGGCAATCTTTCTGCTTTGCTGCCTCGGAGGCAACGAACAGAGTCTCCCCGTTCCTTCTCGGTCATGGCGGCTCAATAGAACGAGGAGGGTTCCCCTAAGGTCATCAAGACCACCCCCTGCACCCCAACTAAAGCCTACCTGGTTGGGGTCCTCTCCAGCTCCCTGACGCTGTAGGGAAGCTCTCATTTGGGGCGGGGGGGGGGACAAAACGCCTTTCCCGCCCAGAGATGGGGAGACGACCGCGGTCCCCAAGACCGAGGCTGCCTCGGTCGGGAACCCCTCCCGGGAGGGCAACTGGCTCAAGGAACACCAGAGACACCCCCCTCCGTGGAACTGTGGAAGGGATTCAATTTCTGAGATTAGGACTTGGGGGGGGGCTGAATCAGCCTCCTCCGTCTCCCCTTCGCGCCCTCGATTCCTCCTTCCCACGGAGGACGAATTCCTGCGTGAACCCACTCCAAGTATCCTTGGCTAAGCGCGGGGCAAGACCGGGGATTCCTAAAAGCTTTCCCAGATGCGTGGTCCAGGGGAGGGAGGGAGAGAAGGAGCCACAAGCAACGCGAGGGGAAAGGGGCAGCTGGATCTCCCGCAGGGTCCTCCTCCCCACGTTCGGAGCTAGAAAGAGGAGGGTATCCCCCACACAGAGACACGCGCGCGCGCGGGCGTTTTGAAGAACCGCCGCAGCGGTTCCTGCGGCTTGCAAGCCAAAGAGGCGCCCCACTTTCCCGGCACGGGGTCTACCAGAGGCAGAGGCTCGGGGTCGGGTAGGGGCTAGGATCGGGAGGGGGGCTTTAAAAAAAAAAAAACCAAAACAAAAGCACAGTTGTGAAGTTCAGCCATTCAGGTGACGCGGCGTCTTGATCTGCGTAAATATAATTAAAAGTGCTTTGAGTGGCATTAATAAAGGGTTATTTGTGCAATATTTCCATCCTTGTACAAAGGGGACCTTTATGTGGGAAGGTTTCGGCGGACTCCAGTTTATACGGGGTTTTATATATATATATATACATATATATTATTTATTTTTAGCCTTAGACTTTTTGCTTGGACGGAGCCTGGAGGAAAAGGGAGGGAGCCCCTTTCTCGGCGCCCCTTGTGAAAAATCTGATAAATTCCTTTTTTTAAAAAGAGTCCCATTGAGGGACGGCGCTTAACTCTTTGGATACTGCGGGGGGGGGGGCCTTCCTCCAGACTTGGGAGGGAGGAAGTCCTTCTGCCTCTTGGAGACAGGAGTCGTTACGGCGGGGGGGGGGGCTGCAGAGGAGAAAAGGATAACATCTCCTGCGCCCCGCAGGATGGGGCTGTCTGGGTTCCCCTGCTTCCCGGTAGAGGGACGGGGATAAAAGGAGGGATACGAATCCCTGGCGAACGTGTGGATAGAAACTGCTCCGTGCAGACGGAGTGGGGGGGGCGGGGGAGGGGCGGGGAATTAGCGGTCCCGGCACAGGAGCGACGGAGGGGGGAGGAACGAAAGTCTCCAGGATTCCCCGCCAGGCTCCGAGGCTCTCGGCTGTGGGCGCTTGGCACAAACTGCGTGGGCTGAAGCCCGAGTGGGGGAGGAGCGCTGGTCTCGCGCGGAAGCTGGGCGGCCGAAAGGGAATCCCGCTCTGCGCTTTGCCCGGGAGGGGAGGGCCGGGGAAGGGCAGGGAAAGCCCAAGCGGAGGCTCGGCGCCGGCCGCGAAAGGCAGCGAAGCGTTCCGCCGCTCGGCCTGCGCTCCTCAGCCTTACCTGTGGGCTGCAGCCTGGAAGGGGCGAGCCGCCGCCGCCGCCGCCGCCACCACCCCGCTCCGGCCCGCCGACTCCCCCCACCGGCAGGAGGCGCCGCGGGGAGGGCTGGGCCCGACGGCGGCTTCCTGCATTGCAAAGCTTCAGGCCGGGCGCAGCCGGGGACACCGCCGCCTCCTTCCCCGCCGGGACCGCCCGGCTCTCGGGCCCGCCCGCCCGCCCGCCCGGGGCTTACCTGCAGCAGCCAGTGGAAGGTCTCGCCCACCAGCGGGAAGCCCATGGTGCCCTTGGGGATGGGCAGCTTGCAACTCTTGTCGCGCGTGGCGGCCCAGCGCAGCTGCCACAGTTGCTGCGAGACGGCCAGCAGCAGCGTCAGCGAGGCCAGGCAGGCGGCGGCGGTGGCCAGCGCAGAAAGCAGCTCGAAGCCGGCGAAGAGCATCGTGCGCGGCGGGGACGGAGCGCGGCCGTCGGAAGCGCCGGGCGGGAGGGCGGCCGGCTGCGACTCCGGAGCAAAGACGCGCCGGGAAGACGGGCCAGACGCGGCGCGGATCGGGCGCTGCCCCCCGCCGAGGAGCGGGCTCTGCAGAGGGAGAGGCGGGCGCCCCTTCCCGCTCGGGGGAGGACCGGACGGATCAACCGCCCGGCGGGCGCGGCAAAAGTCGGGGTCCCTCCCGAAGGCGACGCGCTCGGATCTTCGCTCGCGGCGGCGCCGAGAACTCCGCCGACAGCGGAGCGGGAGGAGGGCGCTGCGCCCGGAGGGGTCCGGCGAGCCAGAGACCGGGGGCTCCGAGGCGAGGCGAGGCGCGGGAGGCTGCGCGAGCGGCGGAGGATCTGCAGCGGCTTATGCCGTCGCGCCGTCCAACTTGAGCGGCTGCCTGGAGCGTCTCTGCTGGGCGGGCGGGCGGGCGGGGGGGCCGGGCCGGCTGGGGGCGGGCGGGCGGGAGCTCCGTGTCGGGGCGCCGTCGGAGGAGGAGGAGTCGCCGCGCTCCGCGCCAGTTTGCGGGGATCAGCCCGGGCGGCGCTTATATAGAGGCGGCGCGGCCGGTGCTCGGCCGGCGGTCGTCCCCTCCTCCCCTCCCCTTCGAGGCGTGGGCGGAGGCGGCGGGGGGCGAGGCGGGCCGGGGCTGGAGCGCTGCCTCCGTCGACTCGGCTCGTGGCGCTCCGCGGGGGAGGCTCCCCGAGGGCCGGCCGCGCGTCCCCTGGCCGCGGCGGAGGCAGGCGGGAGCCGGGCTCGCGGCGCTTCTCCCGGCCATCCGGACGCCTCGCCTCGCCGGAGCACCGAGTCGGGCCGGCCGTCCCGGGACTCCTCCGTCCACGGGCCGCTGCAGCAGGCGTCCCCAGGGAAGCGCGGCCGGCGGGAGAGCCGGGCGGAGGAGCCTTGGGGTCCCGGCTGGGGCCGCGCTCCCTTCCCGGACTCTCCGGATCCCCGCGTGCCCCGACCTGGCCGCCCTGCGAAGCCGGCTGCGGCCGAGGTCGCTGCGGCGGGCGCCGGGCGGCGCCTCTTTTCTGCGCCCGGCGCGGCTCGGCTGCTCGGCCTCGACCTGCTGCGGGACGAACCTGCCGCGACTTGTGCCGGAGTGACCTGCGCCCAGGGCCGGTCCGTGCCTGCCGGGCGGCGGCGTCTTTCCGCCGGAGTAGCTGCTCTCTCCCCTGCCCTGGGCGGGAAGGGGGGACGCTGGCGGGAGACCCCGAAGGAGGGGAGCCCCGGGCTCGCTGCGCCCGGCTCTGAGCGCCCCTTCCCAGCCAGGCGCGCAGCGAGCCAGCCGGGCCGGGCTGGAGGACGAAGCTCCCTTTGGGAGACGGGGGGTGGGGGGGGGGCAAAGGCATGTGCAGCCTGAGGGCAGGAGGGGGTATTTTGATTGGCAAAGGAA